TAAAAATTCTTCCTGATAAAGAATTGTTTTGTTTTTTGTAGTACAAGGTGAAGAAATTAATTAATTAAAAATATAATTTTGCGGAAAAAAAAGTTTTTTAAACCCAAGTTTATATTCTATCTCTGCTCTAAATCGCAATTTTATAACTATTTGGGAAATGACTATGAACAAGATTATTAGGAAAGAAATTCATATGCATCTCAAGTTTACCTGATATTGTGATTTTATAAATCTGCCGGTGACTATTCTATAGCTTTATGTTGTATTAAGGCACCTCAAGTGAGGAGAATAAGATTTAAAGAAAAGGTGCGGATATATATAAGGGAAGCAACTTTTCATGCCATAAGATAACCTTTCATTAACTATGAATTTACATAACTTCCGTCCAGGGGACGGGTACTCTAGCTAGTCAGTTATTAAATTTTCAATAAACCATTGTCTTCATAAATATGTTGTTGTAAAGTAATTTGTTTACATTGCACTTAAAGAACGTGACTGAAATCGTTGTTGCACCCTACATTTTCTATTTGATATTTAACCTCATATTTAAGACTAGAGGGAAAGCAGCTAGTCATCCCCACCCAAATCTTGGGCTACTATTTTACCAACGAATAGTGGGATTGACCATCACATTAAAATGCCCCCACGGCTGAAAGGGTAAGCATATTTGGTGGGATGGGGATTCGAACCCGTGACCCACAGATTGCAAGTCGAGCTCCCTAACCATTTGGTCAGAGTTACAAGAGTGACAGCCATATCTTACTATTTAGTCTAATACTATTCACACAAGCGTTGGCAGTGAGTTTTTTTCTACTAGCTGCCTTCCCACCAGTCTTCCACATCAAACTTAAGGACAACTTGCCCAAATATATCTCGTGTAGCTTTGTGTGAAATTCAGTAACAACAGCAAAAACAAACAAACAAACTCTAACACTATTCAACACGAGAGTTGGCAGTGGGTGGTTTTTGTTGACCATTCACCTTCTCGCCAATCTGTAATATCAAAATCAAATACAGCTTGCACAAGTATTTCTCCTGTAGCTTTGTGTGAAATTCAACAACAACAACAAAATAACACCACGGAATTAAATAAAGGTTATACCTTCTATTGTTTACCTTTTAAACGTGGCTTTAAACTATGTCAAGTTAAAAGCATATTGTTAATTCAATTGTTCAAATTAGCAAGCACATTATTATTTCACAACCATTTTTAAAAATTGAAATAGAAAAATGTTTATTTTGAATTAGATGAAAGCTTTTGCATATATAAAATTAATGCTGTTTATTTACTTCTCGGCATTGCCCTCCCTACATCATACTTAAATTTTGCAAAGATTTTTTTATTAATTGTTTCCTCTTTTCTGGCCCGGCATGGCCAGGTGGTTAAGGCACTCGACTCGTAATCTGAGGGTCGAGGGTTCGAATCCCTGTCACACCAAACATGCTCGCCCTTTCAGCTGTGGGGGCATTATA